GCCGGGTTTCTGGGACCTCGCTCTGTCTGCGCGGCACCTTGACTGCCCCGCGGTGGCTCGACGTCCCCTGGCGTCGCCCCGCAGAGCGCTCACCCGGGGTGAGCGGCCTCGATTTCCCCTCACCGTCTCTGTCACCCACAGGGCACCGTGTTGGTCTTGGGAGGTGAACTTGATGGCTGTCGTCTTGAGCCATGAGAGGGCTGTGGCAATAGAGGCCAAGTCTGCTGGCACAACAGGAGGGAGCGCGGGGCGTGGCTGGACCCTGCCCTGGCTTGTCACACTACCCGGGCGGGGCCAGAGTTTCTGTACTGGGGGCGGCTCTGGATCTCAGACCCACTCTCTTGGAAAGCTCGCCACCCACGACACCCGCAGCTCCCTTCTGAGCTTGACCACGAAGGCTGCGTCCTAAACGGGTCCCTGGCCCTGGGGACATGGAGAGAACGTGAAAGTTCAGAGCCGAGGAGTCCTCACTAAGGACAGAAACCCTCTGGCTCTTAGGATGCGACTAGAGTCAGGCACGGCCTAAGAGGCCCAGACAGCTCAAGCAGGAGAGGAAGGCGCGGGAGAGATGCAGGCAGAGAATGCCCACCTAGCCGGCTGGATCTGCCCCGCCCACGCAGGCTGGCTGGGAGCAAGGTGTGCCCCACAGGAGGGGCTGGGCTGCTGCTTCAGGCTCTCCAGTCACTCAAGAAAACTACCACCGTCCCTAGTCCCACCTGCAGGGAGCCACCTGCTTCCTCCATCGGTGCTCAGACCTAACCCTTGCCTGGGCCACCTGGTGCAAGCCTTTCACCTTGGGGCCCTGGGACTTCCTCTGCCCAGTGAGAGAGCCACAGCAGTGCGGAATACAACTTGCGAGCTTCTTGGCCTGGCCATTTAAAGATAGGAGGGAGAGGCTGGGGAGACCAAGTAGCTTAACTTCGAAAAGCCCAGGTAACAAAACCTCACCGCTAGCAAAGGGCCCAGCTCAATCTGAACCCAGGACCATGGGTTGTTTATGTTTGTGGTACCAGGAATGGAACCCAGGTCCTTCACAGTGAGCTACATCCCAGCCATTTTTATTTTGAAACAGTCTTGCTCAGTTGTGCAGTCTGGGCTGGAACTTGTGATCCTGCTCCTCAGCCTCCCAGAAAGCGGGTTTGGCAGGTGCTCAGCTCCAGGCTCCTAGGGGCCACCCTGGGAGGGCCCTGGCGGACCTGCCATGCACAGGAGTCCGGCCTCTGCGCCTGCCGTGCAGGGTGCCCTTTGCCGCCTCCTCCTTCCTGTCCTGGGTCTGCCCTCTTCTCCCCCTGCCACGCTGGCACCATCTCCGGCCACTCCTGCCCCGTCACCACCCTGCCGAGCCCTCCCTGTGCCCTGCACCCCCGCAGCAGGTCTCCCACTTGGGGGGTCACTGACCGCGGTCCGCATGGGGTACCCCACTCCTGCCGTGTCACAGCATCCATCGTGTGGTCAGGACGGCGGAAGCCTCACAGGGTCTTGTCTGCCCGCTGACCCCGACCAGCGACCCCTCCAGGTCAGGGCAGCGGCGCTGTGCAGGGAGCAAAGGCCATGGATGTTTCTACAGGCAGCTAGGCAAGGCTGAATCGGAAATAACCCGATACAGGTTAAAAGCCTCCCTGCACACACGATTGCACACACACACACACACACACACACACCCACACACACATGCACACACACACACACACACACACACACACACACACACACACGTGTGCCCATGCTTCTGTGGGCCACTAAGATGAACGCTTCATAGACTCAGGCAACTAAACCTGAATCGGTGTCGGTCTTCCCGCCACTGTCAGCCGCGATAAGGCCAAGTATTACACCAAGGCAGTGCTAATGAAAAAGTGCTTAAAACTGCCCCTGCCCCAAAAAATAACTAGAGTGCCTCTCCTTCCAATACGCAGGGCAGCTATCTCTGCGAGAGTCCCAAACTACTGGACAGGCATGGGGACCGCTGGACTGGCCACGCAAGGCGCTTCCTGCTGTTGGCTGGGACGCTGAGCAGGAGGGATCCGGAAGGACCGCAGGGCTCTGCTGGCTTGGATTCTTGGGTGTGGGTTCAGCCCCTAAGGGCGACCACGGGCACCTCTGAGTTGGGCTCCATGTGGCTGTGAGGACTGTGGCTGCTGCAGCACAGCGCTGCCCGCTGCTCTTCTCTGCCCCGATCATTCAGGCATCTGTGCATCCGGGAAGCCGGGGGAAGCAGAGGCTCTGGTGGCTCAGCCCAAGAACTTGCCCAGCTCTCCCAAGGCTCTGCCCCTCGGCCGTACATGGGTGCCATGGCCGGAGTCCAGCGCTGGTCCGCGCGTGAGGGAGACGGGTGCTTCACCACAGGGCCAGTGAGCCAGGCGGGCAGAGGGTGCGCCACTGGGAGGGGGCTGGCATCACACAGCCCAGTGGACCTGGCTCCTTCCTCCTCTACCCCTGGAGCACAACAGGAGAGGCTGGTACCAGCCCTGCACAGGAGAGGGCACGGTGTGAGCCAGACTCAGGGAAAAAGGGGCCCTCGCTGGGGCCTGGCCCGCCCTGACTGCCTCTTTCCACACTGTGCAGTTTGGGCTCCTGTGTGAGAAAACGTTGCCAAACACAGACACTTAAGATCTTCCTCCTGCGTCGTGCTAGGTGTGTTTTTTTTTAAAGCCTGCGATCCACTACAGATTAAGTGTGACATGGGGTTGTGAGGAAAAGCTGGGATTTGATCGTTCAGGGAGCATGCTGGAACAGGTCTGCTTCCCATGCTGAAATGCCATCCAACCCGTCAAGACCTGGGCCGCCAAGAATTTCCAGACTCACAGCCACCTTTGAGCCAGTACCACCCGTCCTGCCTGCTGTAGCTCTGGGCTAAGTCTTGAAGACGTGACGAGTCTGGAGGATCTGTCCAATTTATTATTTTCAAAGGGATTTGGGCCGTTAAGTCCTTTACAGTGAAGTATAAAATTTCAACAAATGTCAGCAAACCCCACCCACCAAAAAGAAAGAGAAGCTCCTGAGTTGGGCGGACACCACAGACCGGTCCAGGAAACACTGCGGCCGCGCTGTCACTGACCTCCCACGGACGTGCTCTGCAGCTCACTATTCAGGTCTTCGGATCCTTTGTCAAACTCATCCCAAAGGTTCAGTTAACGCTGGACATCACTGCAGTTTGCACTTATTTTCATCTGATTGTGCAGCTGGCACACAGAACAGATGTTGGTGTAGCCTCGCATCCTGCACCCACGCTGACCTGCTCCCGACAGCTTCCTGCTTCGTGCCACCGGCTCTTCCAAGGATCATCTCTGCGCTGACTTGGTCCCGGGATGGAACCTAGGGCCTCGAGCCAGCCAGGCACATGCTCTACCCCAACCCCTGCGGTTCTAAATCTCCCTTCCCAACACCTTCTCTCTGCCCAACTGCAGCAGTGACAACGCGGCCAGAAGCCAGCACCTGCGCTGAAGCAGCAAGAAGAGCTGGGCCGGTGCTCACCCAGGTCGGTGTTTTCCATAGAAGTGCTTTACAAAGTAAGCACGTTTCTCTTAAATCCTAGTTTGTCACTAGTACTTATCACTAGTATTTATCAAGCTGTTGAATTTCTGCGTCTTTGGTCACACGCTTTCCCACGGGTGGCTAACAGGGTGAACTGGCTGCCTAGCTCAGCCTGCCGGGCTGCTCTCCTGCACACCTGACCTGGGCCACGGCTCCGAGGGTCTCCAGAGGGCTGGCCCTGGAGTTGTGAAGCACCTTCGTAATCCTGAGGGGTGCTCTGGCTTCCCTGGAAGGTCTTTGGTTCGGGGACCAGGACACTGCTGGCCTCGTGAACAGAACGGAGTCATACTCGTTCCTCATTTTCTGGGAGAACTTGTGTAGAATAGCCATTATTTCTTCCTTTGAAATGTGGTTTTAAAGAATTTTTTTAAATGTAGTATTCTCCACTAAAGCTGTCTAGTTTTCTTTGCAAGGTTACGAGTCGGTTTCTCTCACTGCTAGGGCATCTGGGCTATTTATTCCTGAGTGACGGGAGATGACTTCCACCTCCCAAGGAATGAGTTCGTTTGTCAAATGCACCACCCTAGATGTCCATCACGTGACTGTCTCAGTAATGGCAAAGCTGTCCAGCACCATCTCTCCTGGCAGTGTAATCTTTGTCTTAACTCTTTTTTTTTTCCTCACCAGGCTAGGCCTGGGGATTTAGCTCAGTGGTTCCACCACCTGCCTCTCATCAGTCTAGAAAGAGGTTCATGAATTTTCTTGAAGATCTAAAAGACTGAGGCTTTTGGTCTAATTGCCAGTATTTTCTGTTTCCAGTGCCATCTGTTTCTGTTCTACCTTTGCTATTTCTGTCTTATATTTTTTGGTTTTTTGTTGTGTTTGTTTTTTGAGAAAAGGTCTCACTACGTAGTTGAGACTGACCTGGAACTCACTATGTAGCCCAGGCTGGTCTCAAACTCACAGTGATCCTCTTGTCTCACCCTCCAAGTGCTGGGATTACAGGCATGCGCCACCACGCCCGGCTCTGTCTTACATTTATTTCTAGTTTCTTAAATCAGAAACAAAGGTTTTGACAAGGCCTTTATACCCCTAGCCGAGTATAAAGAGACCCTGTCTCAAAAAAAAAAAAAAAAAAAAAAAGACCTTTATACCCCTCACGCAAACATTTAGTGCTATATACTTCCAAATATTTCGTTGGATCACTAAAGTCAAGTGTATTTCTATAGACCAGCAAAGAATAAGTATAAACCAAAATCAGAAAAATACCATTTACTACTACCAAGGAAATAAATATTATACAGAGCACGTACAGGATCCATAATGCAGGAGTTAAACTGTGACGCCACAGATGCAAGTGCATGGAGAACCATGATGTTGTGAGTAGGCCTCACCACCGTGAGCCTGAGGGTGTGGGTTCTCCCCCAAACCCTCCTAAGTTCATGCCATCCTTCTTTTTTGGTTCCAGGGATCAAACTTGTGTCCTTGCACTTGTGAAGCAGGTGGCAGAACCAGTGAGAGCTAAATCCCCGACCCTAAGTTCATGCCATGGTAGGCAAAGTCTAAGCAAGATTTTAAAATTTATATGTCAAGGTATAACTAAGAGAACCACCAAAATGATTCTGTAAAGGAAAGCTAAATCTGGAGGATTACATAATCAAGTTCTAAGGCTCAGCACAGCACTGTTAATCTTGACCACACCGCATTGGAGGAGAGGCACAGACTAATGGAGAATAGACTCCAAACACAGGTCCGTTTCAAGGCAGCTCACTGGCTCTCGACAAAAAGTCCAGAGAAATTCAATGGAGGAAGAACCACCATTTCAACACTTGGTGCTGGAACAACTAGACATCCGCCCACACGCTCCCACATACTAGCAAAAAACAAGTCACACCTTTTTAAAGAAAGTTGACTCAGTGAGATCTTGTAAATAGCAAAACATTTAAAAGAAACCTAAAAGAAAATCTTTGGGACCTGAGGCCAGGCAGAGTTCTCAGACATGGCTCAAAAAAAAGTCAAGTATAACCCAACAGTAAGTGGGACAAGCTGCACTCTGCCAAGTTAAAATTTCTGCTGTGAAAAAACTGAAGAAGACAAGCTGTAGACCATGAGAAAACACCACAGCGAACACAAATGCCAACAGACATTTATATTCCCAACATGCAAGGATTCTTACACTCAACAGGAAGGACGTGATCAGCTTAGACGTGAACAAGATTTGAGCAGACTCTTCACCAAGACACCCAGCTCGCAGATGAGGAAGCGAAGACACTCAGTCACAAGGCCGCGGCAGGCCCAGCCCCGAGAGGGGCACCACGCACGGGGTCCACAGGGCAGGCGCGGCCTGGCGCGGGTGAGGCTGAGGCGGGGCCTCCCTTCCGAGTGGCGCTGTGCCTGAAGCCCGTTACACACTTGCTTCCCAGAAGGGACGTTTCGATGCTGTCGTTCCAGACAAAGGCGCGCTCTCCAGTTTACTGAATGCGACTCCCGGACACAACACAGGAACAGTTAGTTCAACCTGCGCCACCCTGAATGAGCGCCCGCCTGCGGCCGCGTGCTCCCTGCTTCCTCCAGGGTGGTTTTTAAAGCGCTCTAGCATTTAGCCTTTACTGTCCCTGTGCAGCGGCCGGCAGATTCCTGTACAGGTTCGAAGAGCGAATACGTTCAGCTCCACAGGTCACAGACCTCAAACTGCACAACTGAATTCCCTCAGAGCAGGGCAGCTGCAGGAACAGGCCTTCCCGCGGGAGTGGGGCAGGGGCCGCGGCTCGGTCTGGCCCCAAGCCCGTCTGCTGGCTGCATCGGGCTGGATCTCCTCGTTTCTCCCGGATGTGGGGGCTCGGACACTGGGAAGCTCCCGCTGCTCCAAGCAGTCTTAGGGGACACCTTCCTGAACACCACAGGTCCCCCACGGCACAGCAGCAGGGCAGGGTGGGGCCGAGCTCCTGCCCACACGTGCTCCCTTCCCACGGGCACCTGAGCCTTCGCAGGGCCACTTTCCTCCGCACCAGCAGCAGGTGACAGGGACTCGGTGGGGAGGAGCCTGCCTAAGCCTGCAGCCCATCCAGTGGCCAGGACCAGGGCCCGAGCTGCCACCTGCCTCCACGATACCCACAGTAGGCTCGAAGGAACACACTTTATTAATCTACCTCTCAAACACGAGATGCTAAAATCCGCTGGACTGTAACTCCTATTTACAGGGTGCCGCCTGCGGGCTGGTCACCGGGGCGCTGTCCTGCAAGCAGCAGCCATGCCTGCCTGCAGCGGAGACGCCCGAGCCACCCACAGCAGCCAGGCGGAGGCAGCATAGAATAGCAAGGACAGCCTGGGAGGGCGGCGCTGGTGCCAGCGGGCCAAGGCCTCAGTACTTCTTCAGGCTACAGGCCAGGCTGCCGGGGAGCCGGGCGCCCTGCAGGGGCGGTGAGTTCCAGACGGCCGAGCTGGTGCGCTTGTGGTAGCGGGGCTTGCTCTTCTTGAAGATGTCCTCCAAGTCCAGCGGGGCGATGGTCCCGAAGAGCTCAGCCAGGCTTGGCGGGTGGTAGTACTGGTGGACGATGGCCTGGCTGAGCTGGGTGCCTGGGGTACAGGGGGTCACGGTCCTGGTCGCCAAGCTCCCTAGAGCTCAGGGAGCCAGGGCTGAGCAGGGCTCCCAGCCACCAGGGCCCCACGGGCCGTCACCTCCCAACGTCACACGAAAGAGACAGAGACCCCTATGCTGCGGGCTCAAGGCGGAGCTGGCTAGAGCTGTCCCCGTGGGCCGCCACCCCACCACGTGCCAGGCCTTCCTGGCACCCGCCAGGCAGTCGGTGGTGCTGGCCCAGGTTGAGACGTGAGGCCGCAGGGGCCTCCCTGCCTCCACCCAGCCCTAGCTCCCCCCACCCAGTCAGGCCAGCAGTGGTGGCGGTGGCAGCAGGCGTCACCTGGCGCGGCGGGGTGCCCGTCCTGCCCTTGCAGGCTCACCAGCAATACCCTAAGCTGCCGGGCCCCACGGAGCAGGCTGCACCATGACGTATGGCGGGGACCGGGAGGTGAACCCGCGCCCTGGGCTGCTCACCTCGGGCCCAGGACGGGATGGGCTTGCGGGGCTGGGCCTCGTCGTCAGTGGAGTCGTCGCTGTTCAGGTCCATGCCGTAGTTACAGTAGCTGTCTGGGTCGATCTTGGGGGGGCGCCTGTGCCCTTGAGGGGTCATCTGATAGGAGGTACAGGCTGGGGACTGGGAGAAACCACAGGCGTCAGCTCCCTCCCTGAGCAACAGCACGTGGGGGCACCGGGCACCCTTCCCGGGGAGAGCGGCCAGGTGCTGAGTTCACGCGTGGATGTTGAAGTGCCAAGGGCTACACCGCCCTCGCAGCGGCTCCCCGGGCCACGCCATTCAGGTCCTGGCTCAGCAGCCCTGCAGGTAGGCGGCTTCGATCAGCCACAGGCTCTGGGCAGCCAGCTGAGCCATCCTGGCCATGGCCACTGTGGGCGGTCAGATGTCCACCGCGCACCAAGGGAAGCAGCCACCAAGCGGCCCAGCGCTGCGGCCTGTGACCATCAAAATAACGCTAGCACCCTGGCGTGGGCGGTGTCAGCATGTGCGTGCACCAACGTGGGTACAGGTGGGGAATCCAGGTGCGTGCCGAGCTCAGGAGTTTTATTTTTAAATTTCCCCTTAATCCTTCATTTCCTCTTCTCATAATTATCTAGCATCACTGAAGAGACCAGATACACATAGTTGAAACAACTAATGAACAACAGATCGATGTGTAGCATTAATTAAGCATTTGTGAGAAGGTTGTGTTTAGTTTGTAACTCAGTGTGTTTCAAAAACACTGTGATACTTTCCCACAGCACTTTCCTGCTGTCTTCCTCTTCACAGCCTGCTAACTACTTTCCTGGTCCCTACTGACTATTTTAATACCATGGCGCTTTTTTTTTTTTTTTTTTTTTTTTTTTTTTTTGGGTTTTTTGAGACAGGGTCTCACTATGTAGTTCAGACTGCCCTGGAACTCCCTGTGTAGCCCAGGCTGGTCTAGAACTCACAGCGATCCTTCTGCCTCAGCCTCCTAAGTGCTGGGATTACAGGTGTGTGCCACCACGCCCGGCTACCGTGCACTTTTGAACTCACAATTTCTTTTCCCCTTCCCTCTTCTCTTTCTGGACTATATGTACCAGAGTCCAGTCCCAGGCAGCTCCTTCACACACGTTAGGTTCTTGTTCAGTTCCTTCTATCAACTCCACCTGGCACCTGGTTTAAACTTCCTAAGTAGCATCTCATCAGGAAGTTATGTTGCTCCACACTCAGTAAGTTCAGGAGTTCTCTTCTTTTGGTGGTGTTGGTGGGGTACCGGGAATCGAACTTGGGCCCTCGGGCTTGCAAGGCAGTGAACCACTGAGCTAAATCCCCACCCCAGTTCAGGAGTTACCTCCAGCACCTCCACCTCCGTTTTAAAATTCACACATCTTTATCAAGCTTAGTGGCTTTGTAATAAATTCTTTGAGAACGTGAAAGAATACATGCGAGTGAGGTGCCAGCCTCCTTCTCAAGGACACATGCACATGCCCACACACGTGCACACACACACAGGCGCTTCACTCAGCCCAGGGCCCTCACCTGTACATCCACCGTCACATTCAGGGCCTTGCTGGCCCCCACCGCCTCCCGGGCTTTCTGGTCCTGCTCCTCCTGCAGCCGCTGCTCAGCCAGGCGCTGCTGCTCCTCCTGTGCCTGGGTGGCCACGGGCATGTGAGCTCCCTCGCCCCCCACCCCAGGGCAAGGTGGACCGGCCCCCTGTTCCCAGCCAAGCGCGGCCCTACCTTCTTCTCCTCCAGTTCCCGCTGCAGCCGCAGGGCCCTCTCCCGCTCCTGCAGCTCCCTGAGGACCCAGCAAGAGGCTGTCAAGGCAACAGGCGGTGCCCAGCCCTGTCCCCACCCCTGCCCCGAAGTCCAGCCCAGTGGGCACGACAGGACAGCAGCTCAGGGCCCTGTACCAAGGGTGCAGGCCACGCCAAGCCAGAACGGTCCACACCGCCCCGTCCCAGGCCTCGGTCAGCACTGTCACTGATCCCCACCCCTCGGCCCACGCCAGTCCCTCCACAGGCCTCGGGGCTGCCCGCTGCCCTGTCCAGCATCACGACCCTCACCCTCAGGGACCCTAGTGGACACCCCTGCTGGGGCCCCCACCTCCTGTCACCAATGTGCACTGTCCGAGCTAAGGAAAAGCCTGCAGCCTCCCAGGTGGCTGGGTTGCTCCGCCAGGCGCCGAGCCTCGGCAGCCTTGCGCTGCCGCTCCTGCTCTTCCTCCTTCCTCTTCTGCAGCAGCTCCTGGTGGCGCCGCTCTTCCTCTTCCTGGGATGAGACGTGGGGCAGGGTCAGCAGAAGGGGACCATGGGCCACCACTGCACACAGCCGAGGGGCTGAGCTGCCCCTGTCCAAACGGCTCCACGGCCAGCTGCAGAGGCGCCAGTGACACCTGCAGCAGATTCACAAGCCAGGCGGAGCCGGGGGCCCTGCGACACCACACAAGTCGCTCCACCACTCTGGAGGGCACCGCTTTCTCTCACACGCGGGGCCTGCACCACAGGAAGTTCTTGGGCTTGTTCACTCCACACACAGCAGTGCCAACCCCAAAGCAAGCCATAAATCTCAGGAAGCAGCAAGAGAACTTCCTGTGGCACCAAGGCAACAGAGTACGCTCCCTGGAGCAGAAGATAAGAAAGCTCCTCCAGGCAGGGCACACACATGGAGCCTGCTGCCCGAGGTCACAGAGACAGAGGCCCACCAGCCTGCCGGAGATCACACAGCTCCTAGACGGCAGGGCAGAGACGGGAAGTCTGGCCCCAGATGCACAGACCTAACCCTCCAACGGCCGTCTGCACAGAAGGCGGTGGGGCCAGGTCACAGCACTCACCCCGGCCCATGGAGCCCACTGCACCTCCCACTGGGTCAGAAGCAAGGAGACCCAGCAGGACCAACTGCACGGGCCACAGGTCCTCCCGCCAAGCAGCGCCCGGCCCCTGCCCACACACCTGCTGCTGCCACCGGAGCCTGCGTGCCTCCTCCTCCTGCCTCCTGCGCGCCTCGGCCTCCTCCATCTTTTTGGCCATCGCCTTTTTCTTGGCCTTCTCCTCTGCCTGCCGCTCCTCCTTGGCCTGTAGAGCCACCCACACGTGCCCCTGCAGCAGCCTCACTCTGCCTGGTGCACAGGCCCA